TGATTTGCAAGTGTAGAGGATCGTCGAGATGAAGTGTCTCAGTGTTCCCATAATGATGGGGCAAGGAGTACATCTCTTTCCCACAGGAATGTGTTGCAAGTCCATTGCTAATTACACTATCCCACTCGGGTTAGCATCCTCTTAGCTTTTTCTAATAATTCATCATCACAAATAGAAAATGTAAAATGTTTCCTTTGCCCTGGTTGAATGCTTACTTACTATAATTTAACCTTTTAACTCCCAGAAGTGATTAACATGTAACTTCTCTTTAAAATATCCTTACATAATCCAGCAAACAGGTAATGAGAATACTCAAACTTATCAGGTAGGAGTTGTTATCTTGACTTAACACCAAATTCTCATAACTCGTTTACAAGGAAATGTGTGCTAGCCAGAGGAGAGAACTAGCAATGAGATCTTTGGAGTTACAAAGGGCTAAGACAGCAATTGGTTCATCATTACAATACTGTGCTTTTAATTTTCAGAAATGGCAAGTCCAACAATCCTTCTTGCTCAAAGTCTAAAGATAATCCATGGCTTTCAGCTGTTAAGTCCTTCACTCCTTTCTCATATCAACTTTGACCTGAAAAAGTTGTTGTCAGGACAACAGGAAACAACATTGCCAGTCATTGCACAGCAATTAACTCTACAGATCTTGCTCCATGCACCATATGGTAGCTTAAAGTGGTTTCAACAGGTCGGTGTTTTGTTGCAAAATGTTAATTATTTTTCTTGAACTTTTTATGAAGCTGCTGTGCTCTATCTTTCTATTTCTGTCAATTGAAATGGCCAAGTCAATTTGATCTAGCAAGTGGTTAAATGTTCCAAGGCTAAAAAAAAAAACAAAATTAAAAAATGTACTCCTAGCCTAGGTTAGGTTATGCTTCTAACTGTTTCAAGCAACCCTAGGGTCAGTGGGCTTTGTTCCTCACTTTGCATCTAATATTGAATTTTTTCCAAAACATTTGAGCAATGTGAAGCAGCAAAAGTCAGGGGATGGTGCAGTAGTGTAGTTTGCCATTTGGATTCCATTTCAGTCTTGTCCAGTAGGGAGAGTTTAAAATAAATGTCATGTAAGGTGACGGGGCTGCATGCAGCACAGGTTGTAACCAGAGTGTTAGGCTTGATTTGTAATTAGTGAATCCCATTGACTTTTGTTTAAAGTTCGTTTCTTCATTTCAAGTATGCTTTTTAATTTTGTCTTGTCAGAAGGGAAAAAGCTCAACATCCTTTCTTTACTCAATACTTACCTTGTACACATCAGCAAGGAATGAAAATTTAAAAACAGATGCGCAGCAGCTTGTGCAGAAGGTTAGCATGTGAATGTGAAATGAATAGAAACGAAAATTCACAAAGTAATTTAAAAGATTCTCTATTGAACAAAATCTGTTGGTAGTGAAGGTGGGATAAAGAAAATCTCAGTCCTCTTTGAAAAGTTTTCATGTACCACGAGTATACAACTGCATATATGGTGAAGTAAGTAATGTGATACTCTCAATAGCTTATACACAGTGTAGAGACAGACTGACTGTCTGATAGCCAATAGTTAGACTGACTGACTGTCTAATAGCCAATAGCTAGACAGACTGTCTGATAGCCAATAGCTAGACTGACTGACTGTCTGATAGCCAATAGCTAGACTGACTGACTGTCTGATAGCCAATAGCTAGACTGACTGACTGTCTGTTAGCCAATAACTAGACTGACTGACTGTCTGATAGCCAATAGCTAGACTGACTGACTGTCTGATAGCCAATAGCTAGACTGACTGACTGTCTGATAGCCAATAACTAGACTGACTGACTGTCTGATAGCCAATAGCTAGACAGACTGACTGTCTGATAGCCAATAGCTAGACTGACTGACTGTCTGATAGCCAATAGCTAGAC